AAATAATTTATTTCTGAACCTAATATGCCTCCACAAATTCTTCCCTTTGATTAATTTTTTTTCTCTTTATCATCTCATAGACATTCTAGCAGAATAGGAAAATGGCTCATTTACCCTATTATGAGAATAAATCAAATGATGGAATTTGAGAAGAAGGGGTGGGGGAGATGGAGAATGAATTTTTGTAAATTTCTTAGACATAATACATGAAGTAATTTAAAGATAGCTTCTTGGAGATTTTAATCTAGTTATAATCTATTTAAGAATATGTTAGGTTAAAAAAAAAAGAATATGTTAGGTTCTGAAAAGCTGTTCCTCAATCTATTTGCTTAAACTTTCAAAGTAACCCCCCCACAGGCATCCCCGATGCCACTGGGTGGTGGGTGCTAGCAGAGTTGAGGTCCTTTATGCTGGGCTTTGCAGGGTTTTCCAAATGTATAAACTTTGCAGGTTACACATTTGTAAGAGAGAAGCTTTTTTCTGAGTGCAAACAAGGGACAAAGTACAGAGGCTGCTTGGGTTGAAATTAAGTGAGTTACCCAGGAGCAGACACAGGCATGGCTCTCCCTCTGTCCTTGACTCCCAGAGGTACTTTTCTACCTTGGGAGAAGCTGGCAATGCCTTGCACAGGAGCTGCTGATTTATCTTATCTTCATGGTAGCCACTCTAGAAAAAGAAGCGAAAAGAAATCTTCTGCAAACTGTCCCCCATTTCTCTATCTCTCAACACCACCAGCAGTCAGGTAGGAAGTGACTAGCAACAGAGGCACTGCTGAGACCCAGATCTGAGCATTCCATCTCTCCCAGGGCACCAACAGAAGAACTGGGTCCTTAGCACCAAGTGATTAAGTATTGAATGGAATCAACTGACAGTTCTGAAAAGGGAGGAAGTGGGTCATAAATATTCAATGACGTTAATGGGAAACTCACAGAAAGAGAAGCAAACAGTGTTGCAATATGCACTGGTAGACACACATGCCTCCGGAGGCATTTTCCACTTAGTTTTGCCTCTTAGTACCTTGGGTGCTAGGCATCAGGTCATTTTTTTTTTCTGATTACCATCGGTAGAAGGTCTGTTTCACTGTTTACATTTCTAGCACCCACAAGCTTGCCTTTACCTTTTTGTGAGAAACCAAAACCACATTTTTTCTATGTCTCCAACCCAGGATATATCTACGGAGATTTTAAAATCCGTGTTTACAAAGGTACATAGTCTGCATAGGACATCACCTAAGCAACTATCATGTAATCTGATCCTGGAAAAGAATAGATAATGACTATTTACTCTGCCACATCCCACTTGCATTTTTGAAAGTCCGAAGGGAAAGCTCTATTAAAAACAGCACTGAACCCCAGTAGGTAGCTTGGTGGTAGTGATGACTTACTGTGTTGCTCAAATTTAAGGAGAACTTAAAAGTATTTTAACACATTTCCTTTACACAAGAGAACTTCAAGCTTTATAAAGTCTGCAACAATTATTTTCTATCATTCATCTAATTGTACACATAAGAAATATTATGCTGACACAGGGTTTACTGTTCCTTGCAAATCTAAAAACCCAGGATCTATTCCATCAAGCATATTCAAAGGGCAAAGCCAGGAGAATATAATACATGGGAGGCCTGTTCAGACATCCAAGTTTTGGGTAATATTGACAAGACTCATAAATTTGGAGGGGAAATCCAGAATATTCCCTGAAAACTAAATAAGTTATTTCCAAAGACCTCTTTGGAAATGACTGAAAACAATATTAGTGCAAACTACGATCTAATATCAAGAATTAATCAACCAAAAGAAAATAAGAAATTCAGCCAAAGTAAGCAAACTAACCTAGTCTGAAATTCAGACAACCCCATTTAAGAAGAAAATAAAGAAAACAGACCTAAATTCAGGTTCAATCTCTTTATCCAACTTCCATTTTTTATTTACACATTGAAAGCTCTTCAACTGTAAAACAGTAAAAGCCCAGCAAAAAGATGAAATTGCCATAAGAATGCTGGGAGGAACAGTCAGCAAGGGGCCTTTTGTACCAGTCATGGGCAATCTGGAGTTCTAGAAAACAGACAAGTTCTGACCAAAGCTCAGCCTCTGATCCCTTTGGCGCCTTGCTGACACTTCTTGAGGAACAAATCCAATTGTGTTGCATGGGGTTTTGCCAGATGAACAACAGCTCCACACTAAGATCACATATGCTGTGCTTTAGATGCCAAGTGTCCTGGAGTTTTTATTAAGTACTTCAAATAGCCCAGAAATAACTCTCAGTTGCCACAGTCTCTAACAGCACTGTGCTCTTTCTAAGTTACAATGCCCTGGGACATTTCCAACTTCTCTGGAGAAAGTTCTAAAGGGTAGAAATAAAGGTAACTCAATGAATAGCTGATGCTTCAGCTAAGGAATTTCAAGGTGAGAATGGAAGTGTCTACATGGAAAATATTGGCAGTTCCATTGTTGAGTTTATTCTGAGTGATTCTGAGACAAGAGGGAAGGGAGTGGAATACAACCATTAAAAGAACGACACAGCCACTGAGTATACAACATCAATTAGTTAGAACCCACTAGACCCAAGATGACAGAAGATTTGACTCCCACTAGACCTTGAGCCTCATATGTTCACTGTAATACATAAGCTGTTAAATGACACACCCACGGGTGCCATGACAGTTCCCAGGCTGGCCATAAAAGGCCAAAAAGTGGGCAGGGGCCCAATTCCTGGAAATCCCCACCCCTTCCCCAAAATAGTTGGAATAATCCTCTCACTTGTTAGCATATGAAATTATCCAGCTCATAAAAACTCACCACCCTCACATCCCCAGGCCACTCTCCCTTTTGAGAGGGACTGTAGTCTATCTATGGAATGTGTATCTCTCTAAATAAACTTGCTTTCACTTTACTATGGCTCGTTTTTTAATTCTTTTCTGAGCAAGACAAGAACCTATTCTCCCGTAACAATTTCAGAGCAAAGCAAACAATTCATTGCCAAAATAATTACACCATTACCTTCTTTTCCCATGAGGAGATACCAAAGCCATGAAAACCTGGGCAAATGCCCTTTTTTTCCAGGACCCAGTCATTCATACTTCTTACATGGTGGGCAGTAGCTATCTTCCAAAGCCCCTCTGCCCTGGCTACCAGCATATCACAAGCCATGCTATGGGAGCTCCAGAAAGAACGTACTTGGAGAAGAGCCTCGTGTGCCCGTGGACAGTTTTAAAAGCGAGTTCCTCACCACCCAGCTCTAGTCAGAAAATTCAGTGTTACATATGACAGTGAGAATTTTCAAATATGTGAACATCCACCATTAGAAAAGCTGTCATATCTGCTGCCCCTTGCTCCATATCACTCTTTAGCCCCTTATTCTGCTTTGGCACTTGTTAATCACTGAATGTTTAAGATGCCTTTTGTATCTATTTATTGGCACAGCAAAGGCTTGCTTTATCCACACTGCGTTCAAATAAATTGAGTTCACTGAACTCAATGTGAATAAAACACATCCAGAAACTAGATTATGCAAGATACATATTAGGTACTCAATATATTGCCTTTGAATAAATGAATATAATAAATTCATATTCTCATTTCTATTTCATAAGAAGATGAAAAAAAAATTAAACCCTGCGGCTCAGAGAGGTGAAGTAACCTACTCAAGGACACACACACCACATGCTTTTCCCCAACTGTGCCAACTTTAGCTACTGGTAGAAAAACCTGTTAAGGTTATATTCTGGGAGAATGCATAGTCTAGATAGCTAATATTCACCACATATTTTATATTCATTGAGCACTTCCTCAACAGGAATGATTTGCAGGAAAATTCTAGAACTGACTTTTAAACCTTTATTTTGTGTGCTCTCTGAAGTAAACGCAGGTTAAATACCAACAGGTTATGACAGGCTCACCATTTGTTTGGGGATGATGGATGGATGGTGATGACAATGACAAGGATGACAGCAAACACTTGGACAGCACCGACTGTGGATGCACCGCTGTTCTAGGAATACACACTTGTCACAAACTCATCCACACAGAAACCCTACAAGGAATACACTATCACCTTTACTTTACTTATAAGGAAACTAAGGCACAGAGAAGTTAAGTAACTTGCTAAAGGTCATACAGCAGATAGTATGTAGTTGAGCCCAGATTCAAACCCAGGAAGGCTAGCTTGAAAGTCTGTGCTTAAACATTGTACTTTGCTGCCTTGGAAAAAAAAAAAAGGCAAAGTGTATCATTATTCAGCCAGTCTTGGTCTCATAGGTAACATAAGAAACGTAAGTTGAATTAAAGCAATTAGCAAGCCTTATATTTTGTATGTCAAGGACTACTGATTGATGAAACAGTATCACCCCAGAGGAAGATTCCTCCACACATACCAACAGGTCCCTTTCTGTTTTAATACTTACATCACTTGAATGAATACACAGAAGACTCACTCATTCAGTTTGCTAATGACAATTGAGGGACTCTGCAAATGCGTGGGATGAAATAACTTTAAAGTCATTTATGGCGCTCACCCATTGGAAGGAGAGTGACAGGAAATTCTGAGAGCAACACAGCCCTTCTCAAATTCTCTACCAGCCTCTCTCCTGTTCTCTCTCCTCCTTGAGCCCAGCTTCCTTTCCTCTACTTCAGGCTACAGCCTGCATCACGGCCTATTGACAAATTGCCACTTGCAATGGGTTTGCTGTAATTCAGGGTTACCGATGGTGTAATGATGATGGTGAACTTTGTGCCCCCTGCTGCCTTCTGAATACGGAACAGTCTCCCCATTACCTAGGTGGATAAAAATGAAACAATTGAGGCAAAATATCTTTCTAATTCCCCACTTTCTCATGAGACTTTTGAAAATCACTCTGTTATAGTTACTTGGTAAGCAGCATACTGTTCCTATGTTATCCTCTGAACGCATTAACATCTAATGCTTGGTCGATATAAACGCATGGAGTTGCAATGAGCACGTAAGAATTCTTGGTAGTTTCCATTTAAAAACAAAAGATGACTCACCAGGCTTTCCTGTTCCTGTAAACACTGCTCGGGGCAAAACACTTGAGCCTTGTGTGTTTTCACTGTCTCTGACTTTCAGATGTTCCTACCTGACAGGAGCATCTGGCTGAGACTCTGGCCAGCATCCGGAAGCCGAGATTACACTTCCGGTGAGCCGGTGGCCGCCCCCTTGGCTTCCGGCCGCAGGGGCATGCGCTCTCTGCTAGCGCTGGACCTGCTCCGCCCACCTCCAGGGCTTCCGCATCCACAAAGGGAGCTGGAGGGCGCATAAAGTAGCAAGTAAGTGAAGGAGAGGCACCAGTTAATGAGTTCGGAAATTCTGCCCTTTCCCTAAAAGAGGTCAGCATATATAATAGTACTTTCTCTCCCTACATCTACTCAGCCCGCCTGAACCAGGTCCTGCAACGTTAGGAAAATCACACCCGCGAGTCCCCACGTGAACCGCAGAGAAATTTGCTAGAATTGGTTTTTCACTAGGTTTGACACTGACTTGAGGGAGTGGAGCTGCTAAGATACCTTTAACAAACAATATCACTTAATGAACGCTTCTTCGTGCCTAAAGGAGTTCGTTTGTTACAGCGCTTGGGAACACCGCCCTTGAGCTCGTTTCTACAGAAAAAAAAAAATGGAGAAGGAGGAGGAGGCCACTGGAAAATGTTTCCTCCTGGACGGACACGCTGATGAAAAGTTGTTTGGTGCACGTCCAGATTTCTGTCTCCTGCCGAATTTTTAATCTTGTTTCTTTTGGGTTTGACCTTTGATACATGCACAGGACTCATTCTCTTCCGAAACTGTACATTTTGTTTGCGAGGGGCCGACGCTGCACCTGGAAAAACTTGCTGGAGAAACACTGGTATTGTTTTATGAACTCCCTAAGCAGTTTCTATTCTGTACAGCTTGCTTGAGAAATTGTGCTAATAATCAAACACGTTTTCAGTGAGCAATTACAGTTCACAGCCTTTTCCTTGCTTTGCTGAAAAGGTATTACCTCAAATGAATGCCAAATAGCGATGGTGTGCATTCAAATAGGAAAGGAAAGCTACATGTTTTAGAACTATCTCAATCACTCTTGTAATTTGCAGCGCCAAAGAGGGAGTAAATGTCCTCATGTAAAATTCAAAAGAAATACTGGGACAATATCTCCCATGGCAACAGCTGTTTTAGAAGTTACAGCATGATTAACAAGCGTCAGTTTCATCTTTTCCTTTGTTTAAAATCAGACCACAGCCTACTCAATCTGCAGGTCAAAAAAGTCCCAAGACTGTCACTGAAGAAAAATGTGATTACTATAGATTTGTTTTCTTTTTCTGATGAGTTCAATTATCTGCCATATTATTCATCTGCTAACCCTGATGAAATGATGAAGCTGACTGTTTTGGAGATTCAGAAAATATTAGTAAGATCAAAATGCTCTATCTTCATTAATATTGACATCAATTAATTGACCAGAATAAACGTCAATGTAGTGATAGCTGCTAGAATGTACGTACTGTCAGTATTCAATGCCATGGAGACATTTGACCTCTGAGTCAATGGGCAGATTTCACAGCTCGAGTTCCCAGGCAGCACCCTCTGAGATTGGAGGGTTTCTTTGGGATCAAGGCCCTGGGGAGGGAAGAGTGAGCAGGAGAAAAACTGAGCTGCACTGCAATCCCAGCACCCCCAGCACCCTGAATTGACCCCCCAGGAACTCCGGAGCCAGAAGGCCCTGCAGAGATGCTTGGGCCTTCACACCCTATGCTGCTCAGCGATGGGGTGGCAGCTGCTCAGGGCAGGAATTTGACATAGCCCCCAAAGAGGCTGATAGCTGATGGCCTTCTTCCACCATCACTCCTAGTCATTAAGAGAAATCCTGTAATCCAGACGAGGGAACTGAGTGGCATTTCACATAGTCTATCAAGCATGTATGAATAAAACGTAGCACTCATGATCTTTTCAATAAGAGATACAGAAATTTAAAAATTTAACCGCAAAACCAAGAGCCCAGACCATCAGTGTTTTACAAAAATGATTAATTATGTCTAAGCTAGTAATAAATATAGCTCAATTACAGTATCTACAAGTTCCTTAATAGATCTAGAAAAAGAACAAATTTAAATTTATTGAAATCTCTTAAAAAATAAATTACCACTTCTGAGAAGGAAAAGATATTAAAATATAATTACTCAAAGCATATGGAAATTAAAATATTTCCCTGTGTCAGTTTCTAAAGTAAACTCCCATGCAAAGGTTATTTTTCATTACCTAAAATGCTATAATTGTGCTTAACTTGATAAATGTACCTTCTGTAATTGTCCTGTGTTGATGCAAATGCCAGCTACATTAATTATCATTTTAGAGTCTGGCTCTGATTAAAGTGTATGTGTATAAAACACAATTTGGAAATAGAAACATTCTTTCTCATTATGAATATTTATAGACAGCATTATTTGGCAATTATTTGTATCTTTGACCGCAATAAAATGTAAACATTCAAAACTACTAGGAACTAATATACAGATTTCTTTCTATAAAGAAGCATTTCATAAAAGCTAAGCATATTTTGAATCACTACATACTAGACTCAATCATTTATGTGATATCATTAGGAACATATATATACAAATATTATATTGAAAAGTCAATTATATGCAATTAGTGTATAAATTGTGTTGCAAGATTAAAAAAAAAAAAGACATGAAGGAAATACGTGACTCTCTTTCCTAAGCTCTGCTCACCAGTGAGTCTTTGGGCCTTAACAAAGCATCTGGCATATAGCAGGCCCTCAGTAAAGATTTGGTGAATGTTGAAAGGGTTATAAATCTCAGTTTTCAAAAAGGTAAGTTGATACTCCTTCCCAAACATGAAGGAGCCTGTTTATTGGTTGTTTTCAAATTCAGTTGAAAATAAATATTTTTAAATAGTAAGTTTCGGCTTACATATTCAGGTTGATAATAGTCTATTTATTTTTTTATTTTTTTGTATTATTTCACAGGCCAGGACAAATTCTACTTTCCCTTAAATAAAAAAGATTTATTTCCATTTGCAAGAATATAAGAATATAAAAATTAAACCCAGTTCCAATCTTCTACCATGTTACCTAGTAAACATACTAGACACAAAAAGCTAAAATGTTTTGGAGAAAGAGGTATGGACTGTGGTCAGCAAATTTAACAAAAACAACATCTAGAAGTTTTACATATTTGCTCTACACCTGTTCATTTCCAAATTTCCCTGAATGTTTTTAGAACACAAATGAATCTCTCCCAAAAAAGTAGGAATAGTTTAAAGGAAAAAATATAAAATGTGTATTCAAACAGAATTGCCAAAGTCCAGCCATGTTATTACAAAGCACCAAGGTAAACACAGAATATGAACATGACCCTGAAAAGTTGCAAATGAGTATGTTTTGCTGATTTGGAAGTACCAAAATCCAACCACCCCCAGGACCTCAGTACTATAGTTACTACACTTTTCTCTAGAAATAGAAACATAGCCACTCTATATTTATGTTCTATTAGTGGCTGAGTTTTGGAAGTCATGCCAAGAGGATTCCAGAAATTAAAAAAAAAGATTTTGTATGAATCATCTGTTATAATCCTCCATAAATCTACATCATTGCTATATAAATACCCAAGAATTGGAACAGAGGAGAGGAATGGGGTATTATGTCAGAATTTAATTAGTTCTAATATGGTAGGAAAGCCACATTCTTCTGAGAGTCCACGAAAAATGAAAAGGTTTTTTGTTTGTTTGTTTGTTTAATGGTATGCTGACTTGTGCATAAGGCTGATTTAGGAAAAGATCCATGACTCTGGTTGGCACCCCATATTTGACCACATCAGTGTGTGGCAATGCGTTTCATCTTTCCCCTAACCTGCATCTCCAGGCTTAATTTAAAATGGTCAGTACTTTTAGGGTATATGTAGGCAAGAATATCATTCATTCCCATCATAATCCTCAAAAGAATAACTGTATTAATTTTTAATATGTGTTGATCTAATTTTCCCCTAGGAATTTTTCAGCCAAATTATATACTCATTACAACCCTTTTAGATACAAATAAATATGTCATTTCCTTGAGTTTGAAAGTGGTTAAAAGTCACTCAGAAAAAGACATAGCTTGATATTTTTTTCTCATATTTTACTTCTAATTTTATTAGTTTCATAGGTTTTACCAAAAGAAACCTTTTAGAAGAAACTGCTCTAAATATTCAGATAGTGATATTTTATATCATGCCCCTAAGTTGTGACCCAGGACTTAGATCATCTACTAAAAAACTTACTCTGCACAAACACCTACCACAGCATTGGCAACTGTTAGGAGCCCAGTAAATGCTATGTCAGAATATAAGCAATTCCTGCTAGTAGCCTGGATGAAAACCTAAGTGGGAAAGAAAATTATTTCTGTAACTAATTATCTAAAAATGTGTCACTCTGAGACAATTTTCTGAGGGACAGGCATTTCAACAGAACTCACTAACTCAATTCTAAGACCAGAACAGTTAATGAAAATCTGATAGAACCACATATAAAAGAATGGTTTCACAATAGATAAGATTGCATAAGATTGAAAATTCTAGTCAAGACCAAAAAAAAAAAAAGTGCTGAGCACTGTATATCCATACATAAATTCTGCCAAGAACTTCATTTTAAGGATGGTAAAATCAAGATTTAAAAGAGTCAGGTAATTGCTTATGAGCCCACTGCTTTTACGTGGTCACCCCACCCACACTCAGGCTGTTTGAGTGTCCCAGAGCCCACCTTCCTAAACGATAATTTTGTAACAGAGAGAACAACACACTCATCTGCATTGTATCACCCATTTTTATTCAATTTATTCTGGGATTCTAAAAAATAGTAGGCAAAACTGTCTTTTCATTGGCATATGCAATTTTTTAGAAGGAAGACTCTACAAATATGTGGAACAGTTAAATAATACAAAGTGCTGTATGATTAACGTCCATGCTGAGTATTATAGACTAAGAACTACATGGAGGTTGGAAAACAAGGCGATAAAATGAACTGGAATAGCTGTTAAAAGCTTCACAGAGACAGTGGACTTGAACAGGATCCTGAGATTGAGTGAGAATTGGACAGTCCTGTATGAATAAGGGAGGTTATTCCCACTTGGAAGAAA